TCCTCCCTCCCAGCCACGCGAAACAGCTGCCCGAGTGCTACCGGCTTCACGGTTTGCCGGGCAGCCCCCAGACCTCCAGACCCGCTGCGCCCCCAGCCAGGCGCTTCCCCAGCGCAGCCGGAGCCCGGGAGGGGAAGCGCCCGGCCGGGGACGCAGGGTCTAGAGGTCTGGGGGCTGCCCGGCAAACCGTGAATCTGGTAGCGCTCGGGCAGCTCTGCTCTTCAGCTGCACAGAGCTGAGGTGTCTCGGGGGAGCAGCCGCCGCCGCAGCGGGGAATCCACCTGCAGCTCGCAGCCTGCCGGAGCCGCTCAGGTAAGCAGGGGACTGGGGCAGGGATGCCGGCATTTTCCCAGACATGTTCGGCTTTTTGGCAATTCCCCCCGGACGGGGATTTGAGGACCAAAAAGCCGGACATGTCCGGGAAAATCCAGACGTATGGTAACCCTACATAACTGCAGTCAAAAACAAAACAATGTAAAAGTTCAGAGCCTACAAGTCTGCTCAGTCCTACTTCTTGTTCAGTCAATCGCTAAGAGAAACAAGTTTGTTTATGTTTACAGGAGATAATGTAATTTCTTAATTACAGTGTCACCTGAAACTGAGAACAGGCATTCACATGGCACTGTAGTAGCTAGTGTTGCAAGACATTTATGTGCCAGATGCCAGTGCCAGATAGCCAGATGCGTTAAAGATTCATATGCCTCTTCATGCTTCAGCCATTGGTGCTGAGGACATGCTTTCATGCTGATGACACTTGTTAAAAAAATAATGCGTTAATTAAATTTGTGACTGAACTCCTTGTGAGAGAATTGTATGTCTCCTGCTCTGTGTTTTACCTGAATTTGCCATATGTTTCATGCTATCGCAGTCTCGGATGATGACCCAGCACATGTTCATTTTAAGAACACTTTCACTGCAAATTTGACAAAATGCAAAGATACCAATGTGAAATTTGTAAAGATAGCTACAGCACTCGACCCAAGATTTAAGAATCTGAAATGCCTTCCAAAATCTGAGAGGGACGAGGTGTGGAACATGCTTTCAGAAGTCTTAAAAGAGCAACACTCTGATGCAGAAACTACAGAACCCAAACCACCAAAAAAGAAAATCAACCTTCTGCTGGTGGCTTCTGACTCAGATGATGAAAATGAACATGTGTCAGTCTGCTCTGCTTTGGATCGTTATTGAGCAGAACCTTTTCATCAGCATGAACGCATGTGCTGTGGAATGGTGGTTGAAGGTGTAAACAAAGTGTAAACAAGAAGCAGGTAGCATTATTTTCTGCAAATGTAAACAAACTTGTTTGTCTGTCTGAGCAATTGGCTGAACAAGAAGTAGGACTGAGTGGACTTGCAGGCTCTAAAATTTTACATTGTTTTATTTTTGAATGAAGGTTTTTTTGTACATAAATCTATATGTGTAAGTTCAACTTTCATTATAAAGAGATTGCACTACAGTACTTGTATTAGGTTAATTGAAAAATACTATTTCTTTTGTTTTTTACAGTGCAAATATTTGTAATAAAAATAAACATAAAGCGAGCACTGTACACTTTGTAGACTGTGTTGTAATTGAAATCATTATATTTAAAAATGTAGAAAAACATCGAAAAATATTTAATAAATTTAAATTGGTATTATATTGTTTAACACTGTGATAAGATTTGACCAGTTTTGAATAGAATAAATGTAGCATCATATACTACCCTATACTTCGGGTCTAATTGTGCAGTCTAAATGCAGCCCACACTCCCATTGAACTAACTCTAGGGATTAGTTTTGACTGTGTAAAGACTTCAGGATCAGGTTGTATATCAGATAATACAACAATACTCCGCAGAACCCACAACAAAAGGGTGTTTTCTTACTATGTCACTGAAAGAAACCTGCGTGTTCCATTTATTTTCTACCTCACAGAAAATGGAAAACATTTAGTACAATGTGAATTGAAGTGGGTTTTTGCATTAAGGAAAATTAATAAAAGAAACAAGTAAAATAACACTAAGTGTTTTCCTTAAGTAATTAGAAGTAGAATGCACTAAATTAATTAAAGTAGGTTGTCATGCCACCACTGCAGTGCTTGGTAAGAACACTGTTTTTATTGGGTGTCATGTAGAGCTTAAAGCATGTATACTAAACCAGTTGGTATGACAAAACAATGCTAAACAAGATTCAGAGTTTACATTTCTGTACTCCCAAATGTTAGATGAGCATTGAACATACGGAGATGGCATAAGAATGCAACCTGTAATTATGTTGCAGCTTGTTAGTGAACCATACTTATGAAGTTGATAGTAATGTAAGTTTTCTTTTTGATTTGTGCGTGCAATAATGGTTTTTGATTATTTAAAAGAAGTGTACACAGTTGCACATGTATTAAAATTGGCCTGTTTGAAAATCTGGCCCTGAAAAGCTCGGAAAGGAAAATGCTCACTTTCCTTGCAGGTAGTCTGGACAGTCTCCAGGTTTGCAGGGTTTTGCATTAGTGATTTGCATTTCAAATGGCTCATAATGCACACTGATTCAGAACCTTTAAAATGACTTAAAATGATAGGCAAAATAGCCTGATGGTCTGCAAGAAAGGAAGAGATAGGGCTAAGTTTTGCTATTTAATAAAGAATATGATCCTTTGTCTGACAGATTTGTTTACAGTGTTGTAATCTTTTGGGTTAAAATAATTTGATGAATGTAGTTTTATTGTCAATGGGCCTGATTCTCATCTCACTTATGCTGGTTTCATACCATTTAATTTCAGTAGAGTTGTTCCTGATTTATACAGGTGTAAGTGAGAGAAGAATCAGGCTTAATATCTGTACGTATTCGGGATATTTGAGTTCAATACATAGGGATACATTATAAACTGTCCGTATTTTAATCTGACAAGCATTTGGAGAGTTGATGTCAGAATGGAGTCAAAGTAGCAGCCGTGTTAGTCTGTATCCGCAAAAAGAACAGGAGTACTTGTGGCACCTTAGAGACTAACAAATGTATTAGAGCATAAGCTTTCGTGGGCTACATCCCACTTCTTCAGATGCATAGAATGGAACATATGTTGAGGAGATATATATACACACACATATAGAGAGCATGAACAGGTGGGAGTTGTCTTACCAACTCTGAGAGGCCAATTAAGTAAGAGAAATGGAGTCAGTACCTGCTTGTTGTCATGTTTGCAAGTAAACTCAGAATTATATTTAAATTAATCCTGTCTGATATTTATTTTTACAAGAGATAGGAGTATCCTTTAGTACTTTTATCTTGCCAAGCTTAAGTTCTACATTTGATAAATTTATCACTAAAGCTTCTTCTGTTTGTCTGACTTTGTTCTGTTTCTTCATACTGTGCTGCAGTCTACTGCTTGGTGTGAACCTTCTTGAGAAAAATGATGCGAGGTTGAGGCCTGTGGTCTGTCCCCTATCAGAGATCTATGACAATCTGTAATTTGCTGACTTTACTCATTATCTTTATCTCTTCCTCTCAGACTCATGTAGATGTCATCTTTTCTTGTTTTTTGAGATCTTCCTGAATTGTTCATGTGAAATTAACTAGTGTATATTGCACACACAAAACGTACAAGTGCTAATTTGTGCGTGCAAGCACCCACATTTGTACATGAAAATTAGCACCCCGTGTGTGAAATCAGTTGCACTTGTAAATTTTGCAGGAACGATTGAGAAGTTCCTTTGGAAATGTGGCAGTCTCATTTCCAATGATGAGTGGGCCTCCAAAGATTTGTATGTTCAGTACAGATAAACCCCTCAAATCTAGAGACTCTTGAAATTTGTTGTGAGTTAACGTGCGTTATTGCATGTACAAAGAAAACTTTTTTTTGTGAATCATCTGACGCTTTAACGTTTATTAAACACACATTGGAAGTGGGTTTACTGAGATACGGGATATGTTTACCTGCATCAAAATAGGTGTGGATGCATCTCCATCTCAAAATACTGTTGTGCGCCTGCCAAATCCTCCTAGTCGCACTATTTTGCTTGTACCACAGTCTGACTGTTTGTTTACTTGTGTTCCCTCTACCTCTTCAGGATTATCCTGCCTGGATGATACCTCCTCGTTTAAATGCTGGTGTGCAGTCAGGTGTTGTCCTTTGCGATTCATGGGAAGTTCACATCCTGTGTGATACTCCTCATTATTAAGCAGACATGCCTGTGCTTCAGCATGGCCCTGTGCTGAAATTCAGGTCTGCAGCACTATCCTGTCCCACCTGTCACTGCTAGTTGGCTGAGCCCCTAAATGGCAGTCCACTTGATAAAGCTGCTTCAGGAAAAGATCTAGAAGTTTCAGCCTCCTCTATCTCAGGTCCTTTTATTACTCTGGTTCGGAAGTCACTGCATGACTTTAGATATGCTTGCAGCAGTCTATTTATATTCATCACCGTGAGGATCACAGCCTTTCCCAGTTTCGTCCATGTTGCCTGAGAGTGCTTTCAAAATGGCACTAGATTGCAAAAGTGAAATGAATGATGGGATAAAGGAGAGGAATCATGAGAAGTTTTTTAGTTTGACTCCAAGTCCCAGAGTTCCCATCTTCTTTTCAATAAGATAAACAGATTGAGCTGTTAAAGTCTCTCGTGTAAATCGTTTTCTCTAGCCCTGGAATTTTCTCAAGCCCTCTCCAATTTTTCAACATCCTTTTTAAAATGTGGACATCAGAATTGGATGTAGTAAATCATCTCCTTACTTCTATTCATTACTTTCCTCTTTATATATGCAAGCATCTCTTTGGCTCTTTTTGCCACAGCATCGCACTGGGAGCTCATGTTCAGTTACTTTTCCACCATGACCCCTAAATCCTTTTCAGAGTCACTGCTTTCCAGGATACAGTTCCCCATTCTGGGGGTATGGCCATCGTTCCTTATTTTTAGCTGTATAACTTTGTATTTGGCTGAATTTAAATGTTTGTTTTTAATTGGACCAGCTTAGTAAGATGACAAAATGTATTTTGTTTGAATGGGCCCAGCTTACTAAACTCTATACTACTGCCCTGTCCTCATAATTATTTATCACTCTGCCAATCTTTGTGTCCTCTACAGATTTTATTAGCAGTGAATTTACATTTACTTCCAGATCTCTAATGAAAATGTTGATTAGGAATAGGCATAGTACCAATCCCTATAGAGCCCCACTAGAAAACACCCCCCCATTCAATGAGTCCCCATTAACAACTATTTTTCAGATCTGTCATTTAGTCAGTTCTTAATCCATTTAACGAGTGCTTTATTGATATTGTATAATGCTGTTTTTTAAGCAGAATGTTGTATGGTATTAAGTCACATGCATTATAAAAATCTAAGTTTATTTCATCTACACAATCATGGTTGTTTGATAAAACCTATTTCCATAAAACCATGTGGACTGCGATTAATTATATTCCTATTCTATAATTTTTTATTAATTGAATCAGTTTTTCATTATTTTTCCTGGGATGGATATAGACTAACTGGCCTATAATTATTTGGGTCATCTTGCTTGCCCTTTTTGAACATTGGTGCATTATTGGCATTCTTCCAGGGTTCTGGAATTTCCTTGATATTGTAAGATTTATTAAAAATTAAAATCAGCATGCCATAAATCAGTTTTGGCAATTCTTTCAGGATGGCGAGATTGAATGAGACCCCATGACAGGATAGAAAGTGTTAAGAGTCATTTTCTTACATCCATTACACTTGTGTCATAATTAGCTGCTTCTCGGAGGAGCAGGGCTAAGAGGCATCAGGTGGTAACTTAATGAAACCATTGGCTTCATAAAATGGAGAGAGCTCATCCTGAACAGAGGAACCACGGGGAGCAGAGAGATTCCTGTGACGGGACCTGACCAAGAATCTGTAGGAGAACAGATGTCTCAGTCTGAGGTGAGCTGAGGGAGAAGAGTCCAGAGTAGCTGTGAAAGAAGATTGAAGACAGAGCTTAGAGGAAGAGCTGATTTGTTTAGATGCTTTGAATATTAGTTTGACCGTTAGTTATACTAAAAGGGATCTGAGACAGACCCTTCTCAGTCAGAGGCCTGAATTGTGAACAGAGGCAGAAAGTTTACAGGGGATGCTGGAGACCTCTGCAAGGTCTGTCATGCTCTGATGAAGGGGTGTTATCGAGTGATGAGTGTGCACTGTAACAGATGGTTGAGACCAAGATCTCCTTAGCCAACTCTGTTAGGACTCTTGGGTGCAGCTTATTTTAAAATGTTTATCCCTCATAGAAGTTGCCTAACATACTCCTTAATTAATAATAGACTGTAAGTATTTCATCATCCTGATGAAATTAGTACATCATCCTGCTTCTTTCCAAATACAGAACAAAAATATTGATTGAACACTACACTTCTGCATCATTATGAACAATTTTACCATTTCCATCTAATAATGAGTTTATGCTGTTGCTAGGATTTCTTTTGTTCCTAATGCACTGGGGGGAAAAACAATGAAACTCTTTTTTTCTTACTCCTTCCAGCCCTGGATTTTTTTTCCCTGATGTCTTCAGATTCCATTGTAAATTTTCTGCACTTCATATATCTGATTTGAAAAAAAATTTCCCCCTAAGAGAAAAAAGTGTTGATGAAACATTTACAAACAATCGATAGCTGGGCATTTTCAGCTGTCATTGTTGTCAGTGAGCAGCAGTTGAACTGATGCTCATGTGGCCTGTAATGAAAACATGTGGATCTTGATCAGCAGTAACTAATTTAGTTAGTTCTTTGGAAAAATGGGAGAAAGCCAGAATTCTCCACTCCCCTTTTATGTGTGATACACTTTGCCAATCTCTGTCTATTCTGTACAATTTACAGTATACAGTTCTGATTAACAAGAAAATAATGAATTCTCTGAGAGGGCTACTAAGGCCTATATAAAAATAAGATGCATAAGACATATGCAGTATTTCATTATGTGGGCCCCATGTAAATCACACTGGAAAGAGCAAAGATTTCACAGCTTCTTCCTGGCAGAAGTAGCACGCTTCAGTTGATACGTGTCTAGGCTTTTCTGACAAAATATTGCTGAAGAAATATACAATTAATCCTGAAAGAATCAGCAGCTACTATCCGGCGAGCAATGTTTCTTTTCTCCACAAATACAGTTTGTGATTGAAAGAAAGGGGCAAACAAAGTTACAGCATTTAAGGTCTTAAAATAACACCAAGAGTTTCAAGTTATGCTATACAAAGAGCTTATAAACAGCACTTGCAGTCTAAAGCTACCCAGGGCATCCAGTGTCTTATTGAAAACAACTCAAGAATCAGAAGTTAGCCTGTGATGGTAACTTAGGTAGGAGAAAGTTTGATTGATTGAACAAGTGTTTACGCTGTCCATACATATGACAAAAGCACACTGTAATAGGGCCTTTACAAACAGGTTTCTACAACAAGTAGTTGACTCAGGCACAGCTATACAGGCCTCAGTCCCTAAAAATAGGCACCAAGTTCCATCTTTTACATGTGGGGCTAAAATAAAATCAGCTGTCCCCACCTACTTGCTTGACAGAACGGAGAGGTGTGTGCTTCAGTGGAGCTGGTCTCCACCAGACTGTATATTTCAGGGGACTGGGAACTTTGTCTTACAAAAATCAAGACAAAAAAATTGAGAGTAAAGACTTCCTTTACAAAGAGAACTGCAGCTCTGTAAATCGTGTTGATGCGCTCTGGATGGTAGCAAAAGTAAGTGCAATCTAGTATGTAGATAGTATTATATGTATAGTGTGATATAACTTCAACCCCATGTAACCAGTGAAAAGAAACAGCTGATTTCTCAGGATAATGATGGCAAACTGGGTATATTTCATTAGCAAAGGATGAAAAAGTACAAATGAATTGCATGCAAAATGTGATCTGATTCATTGCTGCTCTCTAACACGTACCTAAAATACAGTAAGTCTGTAACTTATAAATAAAGTTTATTTTGAATGAGAAATGCACAGCACAGTGAAAGCAATTCAGGTCCTAACACTTGTGTTAGAGTGTATGGTACGTCCCTATGGGGACAAGCAAAAATGTGTTTCAGGACCTGGATTTCATATATTTTGCATGTAACTGTATTGTATTACTTATATAACAAATAAAATTTGATTTCATAGCTAGAAGCACATAAAGAATAGCTATATCTTGAATAAATAGCTAAAATGTGGTGGGATCTCCAAATTGCTTAAAGATATATGTTTAACACTCTAAGATAATTGTTGTCAGTTGGCTATGTTAGGTCTAACTATAGCAACTGTAACAACTTTAAAAATGGGGACATATTCTTTTATCTAAAAGAATAGATTTACATTTATAGATATAATTTACTATTTTATACATATGTTTGTAAAACAAATATTCTGAGATGTTGGCATATCATTTAATTAAGGACAGCTATGATCTGGGTATTTAGATATTGGAGGTTAGAATGTTTTAAGATTTATAACTGGAATGCTTAAGTCACAAATATAAAGTGAGAGAAACAAGGTGAGTGAAGTAATATTTTATATTGGACCAACTTCTGTTGGTGAAAGAAACAAGCATTCATGCTACATAGAGCTCTTCTTCAAGCCACCTTGTCTCTCTAATATTCCTAGGACCAACAGTGCAAACAAAAATAAAATGAGTCATGATTCATTATTTTAAAATCACACAATGGGAACACACAATTTATTTTGCAAGGTTGAATGAAAAAATATTTTCTTTGCTAATATTGCATTTGCTAAGTGACAAAGTGTACATACAATATATGTGTTTGAAACCATCCCCAACCATGAGACAATCAAAACATTACAATGGGTTTTGGCATGCAAATTTGAATATAAGATCAATAACATTTCCAAGTATTGCTTAATACTTTTCAGAGGGCCAATGTGATTTAGTTAGGATTAAAATATCAGTGCTTAAATAGCACATGTGTAATACTTTGTGCATCATAATTATTATAACAACTTTTTGAAACATTGTTTCAACATCATTGATATCAAATATTGAAACTAATCCCTTTTTCACTGTGGCATATCTGGGTTTATATTTTTCCTTAGTCTTTCATATTAAGTAGCTGTTTTCTTCTAACAGTTTATTTACATCATTCTAAGGTGAAGAGCTGTTCATATTAGTCAGGACTTGCTATTTCAGTTAGATCATTGCCCCTAATCGTGCTGCATTGAGTAATAGACTCCGCAGGGGCATTCAAAAGTGACATGCACACATGCAGGTGCTTTACTACATCAAGTATTTAAAGAGCATTACCATGGCTGTCTGTGTGTAAAAATAGACATGCTGATAGTTAAGATGTATGTTCAGATATAATTTATATAGACTAGGAGGGTATTTATTAATAGTATTGTGCTGTGATTTAAAACTGAACAATCTGCAGGGAAACAGAACTTAATTGTGACTGTGTTGCTTTTCTTTTTTGTTTTTTCTTTTCCTCATGAGAGCATTCAAGTTGTACTTTGAAGTTTAATTAAATTGTAATTTGTCTTCTCCTAGACCCGAAGCAAATAATTTCTCAGCAGAATTCCAGAGTAAATAATTGCATTTTGCCCTTATACACCTAATCCAGGAATTTATTTTTAATACTCACTTAACTCTTCCAATGCCCTCAAGATGTACTGAATGCCTTTAAACTGGGACCAAAATTTTATAAACTTGGTTACTTACATCAATTGGAGCTGGGATGCTCAGCACCTATAAAAATCAGGTCACTTATTCAGCTGTTTAAACCTGGGCTGGGGAGCCTAACTTTAGGCATCCAGGTCAGAATGTTTAAGGCTGTATGTTTTCACATTTCTTCCAAATCAGTGGTGCCATTTAACCCATCTGCATGTAACATCTGACACTGAATTGGTTAATAAGTTATGCTATTTGCTTTCCTAATACCTCTTCACAGCCAATTAAATTAAACATAAACCGGGACGCTATATGAATACGCCTCTGAAAAAGCTAAGACTGGTCAGTAAATTAGATTGAATAACTTCCAGAAATTTGGAGGAAACAAAAATAAGTCGACAAAGAAAAATATTGCTTTATTTCAGTACCTAGTGGGAAAACTATGGATTGGCGTTAGAGCAATGATTACTTGTGTGAATAAGAATATGCAGCCTGAAGCAGGTCACGTGGTAATGTCAGTAACTGCACTCCACTAAATACAGTATAGGAAAAGCACTTAATTTTGTTCTTATCTTTACATTTGGAATAGAACAGTGGTACTCAAACTTTTTTTCATTTACAGACCCCTAAAAAATTTCAAATGGAGGTGTGGACCCCTAGGGATCCATGGACCACAAGTTGAAAACCACTGGAATAGAACAACCAAATATCACTGCAGGGCTTTCACAGAGTCACCTTCCTACAGGCCGTTGTTTATCCCTACAGAAATAACTGTTCCCCTCTAACCCCTCCCCCACAAAAAACTTTTTTTTTAATTTTGTTTTTCACAGCTTTTAAAAATAGAACTGTTCAGAGAAAAGGAAATAATTAAATCTTGAAATAAAAGGGGGGACTTATTTTTTAACTCTGCTAGGCACTGCTATCTGTTCGTCTTCCATGTTACTCGAGCTCTTCTTTTACGATGTCTTGTCACTGGATAGATATAATTTCAACTAAAATGTTTTTGGAAGTAGCTTAAAGGACTCCTGGTGACAAGTTTTTTGCTAATTTTATGCAGGAACTATTGCAATTGCCTGTTGAATCAGAAGCTCAGATATGTCAAATTGCTCAAATATTAAAAAAAAATAAGAAACTGCTCAAGGTGAAAATGTGACCTGCAATAAAAATAATCCTTAAAGGGGCTATTTTTGGAGACTGCTGTGCTAGTCACAGACGTGGTGGCATCGCCATGATAGGATTATGCACATGCTCAGGCTGTCTGTGAGGATTGATCTAAAATTGGTGGTTACATGTTTAAGAAGGATAAACAGCATGGGAGTCCTAGCTTTAAATACAGATGTTGTAATTGGAGATAGACCAAACTGACTCAGGAAAGTTCAGTTGCCGCCAAATGTAGGGGATCATCTTGTTTTACATGTCACTGTATTATTGAGATTGCTTTTTAAACCTAATGCACTCAAATCCAACAAGACAAACTGGGGTGGGACATAAAGTGAGAAAATAAGTTTGATTCTGGGAGTTCTAGAGCACCAGCAATTCCTGTTGACTGCAGATGCACTTGTGAGTGCTCAGCCCTTGTCATCAGTAAGCCTCTAGGGCAATGTTTACTGTGCATCTGGTAGTGAGCCTCCCAGGCTGGGTAAACAGACTTGTGGGGGCAGAGCTCATGCTTAGGGCCCTACCAAATTCATGGTCATGAAAAATGCATCACACACCATGAAATCTGCTCCTGGTCCCCCTTCTCCCCCCCTGGTGAAGTCTGGTCCTTTTTGTGATTTTTCCCTAGTCTATACAGATTTCATGGAGGAGACCAGCGTTTCTCAAATTGCGGATCCTGACCCAAAAGGAAGTTGCAGGGGGGTCACAGTGTTGTTTTAGGTGGGCTGCAGTATTGCCCCCTTTACTTCTGCGCTGCCTTCAGAGCTGGGCGGTCAGAGAGGAGCGGATGTTGGCCAGGTGCCCAGCTCTGAAGGCAGAACTGCTGCCAGCAGCAGCACAGAAGTAAGGCTGGCAATACCATACCATGCCACCCTTACTTCTGCACTGCTACTGGTGGCGACTCTGCCTTCAGAGCTGGGCTCCCGGCCAGCAGCTGCCACTCTCCAGCTGAACTGCCTTGAAGGCAGCACTGCACAGAAGTAAAGATAGCAGTACCACAAACCCTTCCCCTCCACACACACAATAACCTTGCAACCCCTCCCACAACTCCTTTTTGGGTCAGGACCCCTACAATTACAACACTGGGAAATGTCCCATTTAAATAGCTGAAGTCATGAAATTTATGGTTTTAAAAATCCTGTGACCGTGAAATTGACCAAAATGGACTGTGAATTTGGCAGGGCTCTACTCACGCTAGTGCACTAAAAGTAACTGGTAGTCGACACTGCAGTTTGGGCTCTCAAACCCACCCTGTCACTCTAGGTGTGAAAGCTTGAGCCACAATGTCTACACAGCTATTTTTAGTGCATTAGCTCAACCCCTGTTAATACAATTCAGTGGACCTGGGTTGGGAGGCTCACTCCCAGATGCAGTGTAGATGTAGCCTAGGACATGAGTCCATAGATCCTAAGTGAAGACTAGAGGATGAGGCTATTACTAATGTTTAAAAAAGCCCTTTCCAATCTATTTATGTGCCTCTTCTGTCTCTCACTACATTAGCTTTATTGGCCTTATCCTGCTCATCTGACTCATAAGTTTCAGCTCATTGAATGAGTGAGTGGGTTGAATCATGTATTAAGGTGAGCTGGATTTGGCCTATAGTTGGTGCACTTCAACACACCTCTTGTGTCACTGTAGTTACCTCTGTACAGCATGTAAATTATAAAGGTTCACTTGCTTAAAGATCTTTGCTAATCAAATGTTGAGGGCCAGACTGGGAGGAAGGTAGAAGGAACCATTTGTCTACTCACACTCTCCTATGCAGGGACCAGCTGCATCCTGGTGCCTGGCCTTATCTGAGTGCAAGGACCAATCTCTGCTAGCATCCCCTGTTATAGGGTGCAAACTGCGGAGGCAGGAATGAGGTGTTGCTGCCCCCTACTAAGAGATGCAGTTGGCAGGTTCTCTCTGTGTGTTGGGAAGATCCA